CCATGTTTTAGTAGTAGCTGAAGTAGCTGTAGGTGTCAGTAAGGAGGTAGTGGTAGATGTTGATGATTGTTCAGTGATAGCTGAGGTAGCCGTAGTTACTGCTGCAGAAGGGTTGCTGGATGTATTTTCCTCAACTTTGGCAGTACTTGAAGAAGCAGCAGTCGTCAATATGAAAGTAGTTGTGGGCATGGATGCAGAGGCTTCAGTCATAAATAAAGAATCTGTAGATGCTGACGTGGAGTTGGCGTTTGGTTTTGTTGACCAAGTTTCAGTGATACTTGACATTTCTCCAGTTGTTGGTGTAGAGGTGGTAGCGAGTGTTGTTGACAGTGTTCCAGGGGAAACTGAGGAAATTGTAGTGTTTGATGTGGGAGTGGCAGTGGATTTTACTGACTTTCTTTCATTTGTAGTGGAAGCATTTCCTGTCACTCGTGTGAAGAAGGTGATGGGCATTCTTTCAATTACAGTGGTTTTTGTCGGTGTAGAGGCGCTAGTAAGTTTTTTTGACCAATTTTCAGTTATATCAATTCCTGTAATTATATTATTGGTGGCTAAAATAGCTGAAGGGATGTGGGTAATGGTTGTACTAGGACGGGCATAAAATGTTTCATTTGTAACTGAACCATTTGTTGGGATTGATGTAGAGGCAGAAGTTTTTTTTGTTGACTTAGTTTTAGAAGTAGTTAAAATAGCTGTATTTGTTCGTAATAAGGAAGTACTTGGTATTGCTGACCATGCTTCAGTTGTAGATGAATATGCTGCAGTTGTTGATGTAGAGGTAGGAACTGGTATTCTTGAAAATTTCTTAATTGTAGTTTTAGCTGTAGAGGTGTGTTTAAAGTTTATTGCAGGAGTCTCTGAATGAGAGTCTGTTTCAGTAGTAGCTAAAGTAGTTATAGTGGTTGGTAAAGAGGTAGGAGTTGTTTTTCCTGTCCATGTTTCAGTCGAAGTTGAAACAGCTGTACTTTTGGGCATAGAGATGGTTGTGAATATTTTTGACCATGTTTCAGTTGCAGCTGAAGTACTCGCCCTGGTTATTGAAGAGGTGTTAGTGGTGGGCATCATTGTCAATATTACACTTGTTAATGAAGCAGTTGTACGAAGTGTGTGGGGTGTTTTTGACCATGTGTGAGTGGTAGTTGGGGGCACTGTAGGTGTTATTATTGACTTGTTTGTGTCCACTTTTGACCATGTTTCAGTCAAAGCTGAAGTAGCTGGTGTTGGTGGTGCAGAGGTGGTGTTGAGCATTGTTGACCACAATTCACTGGTAGCTGAGATATCTACACTGATTGTCCTCAGGGTAGTAGAAGTAACAACTACAGTTGTTTCACTGGTAGTTGAAACAGTTTTGGGAGTACTTGTTCTCAAGCTGGCAGATATAGATGTGGGTACAGGTGCTAGATACCCTGTTGGAGTAGATACATTGATAAGTGAAGTTATTTTGAACAGATGTTTTAGAGGTACCTGTAATAAAACAGTATTATAACATTATTCCTTTACCTTTTTTGAATAAAATACTTTTTATATTGTTTTTTCAGATTTCATTTACATTTATAGCTACCTATGATGATATTCATTAGATAACACTCCAATAAAATTCTAGATTCATTCAATGTTCATGCAATTTACCACATATTTAGTGGAAATGCAGTATTAAATGAATACTTACGACAAGTAAGTGTTCCATTTTCACAGGGGCTGAAATACAAAGTGCAAAACATCCACTTGTCAGTATTAGTAGTAATGTAATGTGCAAGTGTTGTGACAGATGAGGATCCAATGTGATGACCCAGAAAGGGAGCAGCCAAAGTAGAAAAAGCAGAAGAAGAAAACTCAACTTACCACTCAAAAGAGTTTATCATGACTATTTCTCCAGGTTGAACCATAGTGTCATTGAAATAGCAAGAGCATTTCCTCAGTGTTGTGCATTCTTCTGTATTTTCATCATAGTATGGTGTCTCCTTTGGACATTTGGGATAACAGCCTTTTCCAAGAAGAAATGTAGTTTGTCATTTAATGTTCTCAGTGTTTAAGCATTTGTAAAAGCAAGGAAGTAATAAAAAGAAACACTCAACATATTTTAAGTATGATGAAAAATTACCAATATTTTCAAAAAACACATCTTTTGGAACAGTATGTTAATCAAGGTTTGGTTACCTTCTAGCTTGTTAGTGAAATAGTGTTCTTTGCCACAGGTTTGGGTCTTACCACAGGCTTCATAATGCCAAATGGTTTGACCAGGCTTGTTGTAGTAGTCACAGTAAATTGCTAAAAATTCAAATACCACAGATTAAATTATTGCAGTCTGAAAAATAGTTTGTTTTTATAATGTTTCAATAATAATAAATATTATTTATTGAATATATTGCATATCTTCAAAATTTCCGATTTTAATAAAATAGCATAGAAAATGCTGAAATACTAAAATCTGATAATTATTTAAAAAAAATGTAAAATAGTAAATAATGCGTTTTACATCTAAATTATCTGTAATTTGGACATATAATTCAGCTTTTACCAATAAATTTGTGTTGCATTACAGTTACATCCTTTTCAACTACCAAAACAAATGCAGCTTTATGGTTTCTATAAAATTTATGTTTGCGTCGTAACTTACGACACAAATCAGGTGTCCTCCAATTAATGCAGACATCTTGATCATTGCAGGCCTCTGCATAAGCTGCCACTGCTGTGCAAAACCCCAGGAACTTCCCTTCAAACTCACAGGAGCACGACTCAAGAAGGCAGGCCTGGTAGTAAGGATTTGGGTCAACCTAGGAATTTGAGAACATGCAAACCAGAGTTTTTATTTTGTCATTTTCAAATGCTGTCATTGGTATATGGTTACATTTGGATGAAAAAGTTCAGTTGTGACAATAAGGGATCATTGATTTGCAATAAATTCGCGATTCACTTCCAAGACGGACAGCAAGTGTATTCTTAAATGCAATTATATTTTCACATATAACTTAACTTATAGCTCATTTATCTACATGTGCTGTTGGTTTCAAGCGAGTGTTACTACCAGAGATGAACTGTAATCTGATTACTTTTTCAAGTAACGAGTAAATTAAGGGATTACTATTGCAAAAAAGGTAATTAGATTACTGTAACTTTCCCGTAAGCATGCTGCGTTACTAAACCGTGATTTCATTTGCGAGAGTGTCTCATGACAATGACATAAGCGAGTGCTACGTTTGTGGCAACAGCTGAATGCAGATAAAAAATGGATAATATAACGAGTGCGGGAGAGAGTATGGGAAATTCAAAGAGAAACTCCGCATGCCCAACTCCTGCTAAACAGGTGAAAATAGAGGAGCTGGACCGCTGAGTCTTTGATTTTATTTATTTTCCGCTGTGTTTTACTTGCATCTATTTGAAAGAGTGAGTGTAAACGCAAAAAACAGTTTTATTTTATAAGTTGGAATGTGCAGAAAATAGGTTTTCTTCCAGTCAGAGAATGTTGCATATAATAACATTTTCTGCTTGATGCATAAAGTTTAAAGATTAAAACCAATACAACTAGTTTTAAAAATAGACTTTTTCATTTGATTACATTTTATGTGATAGATTATGCAGAAAATCTGCATTTTTCAATAAAATCTATGTGGCTTTGCGTGGGCCGCATGGATTATTGCATAGATTTTTTTTTATAAATTTTTCTATTAGTACAACTTGCTTTCTGAAGATGAGTTTTAATGTATTTCTATCTATTTGACCTGCTCAGGGACCGCACATGGAAACTAGCTAGTAGCTAAATCTGGTACAACCTGTTAGGTGATTAATGTTTTCTTTTGTTTGTACGTGGTCCTTGACAAATAAAGTGTAAATGAAGTTGTAAATCACTTTTCAAATTCTGAAAAGTGCATACTTTCAAGTGACAGTCTTTGAAAGTGTCTCCTTTAACAATCATACAGCGCCGCTGGGCCCAGGATGAGCAGTAGGAGTTGCGATCACATGGAAATATATCAGTGGTCACATCAGAACAAGGAGGAGTGGCTGCCTTCCAGCTGTTGCCAAAGGCCATTGGACTGGACGCCACTAGAGGGGGAAAAAAACACGATTTATAAAAATTGTTGCATGACTAGAGCATTATTGGATTACAAAAAAAGAATAAACTGATTTACCAGCAGAGCCACTTATCTGCATGTCATTCATTTCATTGGAGTCAAAATTTCCACACAGGCCGCAAACTTTGTACTAGAAGCAAGATTATTGAAAACATATTATTGCACATGCATTTAGTTTATAACTAGCTAGTTTATAACTTAATCAAGGATATTTATAGCTTATATATCAGTTTTTATTTGTATTGTCCTGTGGTTTTATGTTTAATTTAAACACCATATTGGAACTGCATTCCTAATTTCATAGTTTCCTTTGCTTACAGTTACATAAAGTTATTCTAATTCTGATCACTCTTAATATTCCCATTCCTCACCCTCCAGTTTTCATGCAGCTTTATGGTGAGCCGTGTGTGTTTGTCCCAAATGAGAGTTATCCCGCTGCTCGGCACTGACACTATGATATAAAGTCCCACAGTGTCAATACTGTAAAGAGAATGTTCCTGCATTGTAGAGTTTCGTTGTAGCTGTTTGGTCACCTTCATGTCACTTAATGTCAGGATGACTTTTCCCTAATGGGTTAAAAAAA